GATCGATCTGCTTGTGATGGCCAGGAAATTGTTGACTTATTTAAGGAATTCTTTCGAAATGCATATGCTAAAAACACCATCAGTGATGATCTTGAGTTTATTGGACAATAATATCGGCAACAACATTATTTGCACTGAAATATCTAGGACTACTTAATATCTTTGCTGAAATGACTCAGCTCCAAAACAAATTGACCTTGGATCCAGTCAGTATTCCTAACTTTTTTTTAAAGCAGTGTGTTTGCACTATCGTTTTACCATTTTTTATTATTTTTAATACATCATTTAAAACCTCTATATTTCCTGACAACTGGAAGCAAAGTTACATTGTTCCAATATTTAAAAGTGGTCAAAAGGATCATGGGGCAAATTACAGAAGTGTATGTATCCAGTCAGCCATTCCAAAGCTTTCAGTTTGTCTTGTTAGCAAACAATTGACATGGTTTTACTGAGAAAAAATCAACAGCGTCTAATTTCCTGGTTTATGAAACAGATATTTTACAGAGTATGGAAGGACATGTTCATAACAACTTTAATACATCCTTTCCAATGGTTAATTTTAAAAACAAAAAACCTAAACCCTGGTATACCCAAGGATTGCGTATCTCTGGGAAAAATATGCGTTCTTTTCACTACATAAGAAAATATTCCATGAACAATCAAGATTTCACTCAGTATTTTTATAGGTATCGCCAAATTTACCGAAATTCCATAAGACTGACCAAAGACACGTATTACCGTGATAGAATCACAAATTCCTCCAACACATCCAAAGAAGCGTGGAGGATTGTTAGTGACTTATTGCGGAAGAAAAATAATAAAAAGGTAGTTATGAGCAAGTTAAAGGCTAATGATCTTAACCACTTTTACTGTAGCATTGCTTCCAATCTAGCCGCTGGTATTCATCAGCCGCTTGATCCCAGGGCCTATCTAAAGCACATTGTGGTAGGTGAAACATTCTTTTTATCCCCAACATCAATACAAGAGATTAAGTAAATTATTTGCGAGATTAAAAATAAGAATACATCGGGTTGGGATAATCTTTCTTTGAGGGTTGTGTCTTGTTTGCCTGATGAGGCCTTGCGAGCTTTCACAAGAGCTATAGATAGTTCGTTTCTGTCGGGCGAATTCCCTGTGTGTCTCAAACAAGCTGTGGTTATTCCCTTGCATAAGGGTGGAGACCATGATACGCCGTCAAACTTCCGTCCAATAACGCTGCTACTTATCGTGGCTAAAATAGTGGAAAAGCTTGTGAAGAGATGTTAGCCTATCTCAGTGGACTTGGACTCCTGACCGCCCAACAGTTCGGTTTTCGAGAAGAGATTGGCACTGGCGATGCCATTTTCAGTTTTCTTGAGTTACTCTATAAGCAGCTAAACGGTGGAGAGGTAGCCTTGTCAGTCTTTTGTGACCTCTCCGAGGCGTTTGACTGTGTGAATCAAGAGATACTACTGTGAAAGCTTGAGCGGTATGGTTTTCGAGGTGCTGCTTTGAGGTGGTTTCGCTCCTATTTGTCGGGTAGATCGCAGACCGTAAGATTTCAGGATGATGACTCAGAACGCATAAACATCAATGTTGGAATCCTACAGGGATCTGTGCTGGGACCTATTCTTTTTCTGGTTTACGTCAACGATTTGCCTCAACTCCCAATTTCGGAGAAGTTTACTCTTTTTGCGGACGATACGACAAGCTTGTGGCACTGCTTAGATGTGGAGACATTGAATAATGACATCAATGCAGATCTGAGGATGGTGAAGGACTGGTACGATTCCAATTTATTATCGTTCAATGTTTCGAAAACCAATGTTTTAAACTTTAAATGCGAACTGGAGAATGTTTACCTATAGGATAATCCTGTAGCTCCACAAAACCACAACAAATTCCTGGGGCACACAATTGATATAAGTCTCTCAAGTTTCACGATCACATTTCTAATCTTTGTAAAAGGGTTTCTTCAGGATGTTATGCCTTAAAAGTGATATTGGGGAATTTGGATGTCTCGGTTGCTAAGAGTGCATACTACGATTTGGTGGAATCTCACCTACGGTATGGCATAAGCTTTTGGGGTTGCTGCACCCGTTCACTGTTTGATTCAGTCTTTCTGCTTCAGAAGAAAGCAGTCCGTTGTACATTCAGAGTAAAGACTCGTGATTCCTGTCGCCCTATTTTCATCAGGCATGCTATCCTTACGCTTTATTCGATGTTTATAATGGAAACGGTGTGCATGATGTTCAGGAAGTACGGGGCTGAGAGGGAGGCGGACAAACACTATAATACTTGTCAGTCGTTTTTTCTCGGCTTGCCCATACCTCATTCCCAACTAGTGAAAAACTAAATTATATATGAAGGTAAAAAACTATTCAATCACCTTCCAATAGAAATAAGAAAGATTGGATGCTACAAGAATTTCAGGAAGAAGGTTAAAGCTTTTTTGGTTGATAAAGCATACTATAGCCTCGAAGAATATTTTAATGAAAGGATAGTAACTGGTTGAGGAATGTTGAACCTTGGTTTTTTGGTTTTCGTTTGGTATCGTTTCTTTTGTAATGAGTTAACTTTTATATGTAAGAAGAGCAAATGTCATTTTTTTTTCTATACTGTTGCATTGCGTATTGTATGAGATTTTATACTTTTGTCTGTGTTTCATGCGTTGGTAAAGACTTGTTTTTTCTGTTTTTGTTCTTTTATTCTCTGTTTTAACTGAGTAATGTTTAATTTTTTATTTTAGTGTTAGTTTTTAGACTATTCTAGTACGGCTTTGTCAGCAACATTTTGTTTTAAGACAATAAAGCTATTTTTTGACTTTGACTTTGGACGTAGGTAGGTAGATGTAATTTTCACTGACTTTTCTAAGGCGTTCAAGCATGTAGATCATTAGGGCTGGGACTCTGTACAAATCTAAACAAACGATTGGCAAGTGGTTGCTATGCTGTAAGAATAGCGTCAAATGAACTTGGTTTAAATACTGCCGAGTTGGTTTATTTCTCGTTGGTTGAATCACATATCAGGTATGGCATTGCATTTTGGGGTAACTGTTCTAATAAATTGTTTGATTCTATTTTTGCCATTCAAAAGAGAGCAGTGCGCTATTTGTGTAAGGTTGGATATTGGGAGCATTGCAAGCCACTATTTTTAAAACATAAAATACTCACAGTATGATGTAGATTCATCATGGAAACTGCTTGCCTTATGCACAAAAACTATTATGATGAGTTAGAATATCCAAGAACTTATCCAACTAGGCAACATCTTAATATTCAGCTCCCTATACCCAAGACTGCATTGACGCAAAATTCACTTATTTATAAAAGTAGGCAAATTTTTAATCATCTGCCTGTTATCTTAAGGGAGATAGGTGGTTTTAAAAAGTTTAGACTACACCATTTCAACCTCAATTTCGGAAAAAGTAACTTTTATTTAGGAAAATGTCAAGTCATTTCCGGAAAAACTCAAATCAATTTCAGAAAAAGTAATGGTAATTTCGGAAAAAGTAAAGTGAATTTCGGAAAAAGTAAATTCAAATTCGGAAAATGTTAATTCATTCATAGGTTACTTTTGCCGGATTTGAATTTACTTTATCCGAATTTGAATTTACTTTTTCCGAAATTAATTTTACTTTTTCTGAAATTGATTTGACTTTTTCCGAAAATAACTTTACATTTTCCTAAATAAAAGTTACTTTTTCCGAAATTGAGGTTGAAATGGTGTAGAGCTCAAAACATTTTTACATGGAAAAGCCTACTATCATATTAATGAATTTTTAAATGAAAAATTTCAATTTTGTTTGTTTCATTGTTTTGTTTTGTTCTGACCGCAACCTTTATGTTTTTTCTGTATTGGCTGTACCTTCTATATGACTCTATAGTTTGATGTAGTAAAAATTGTACATGTGTTGCTTAGGATTATGCGAGGGATTATGCTTTGACATGTATGTTTATTTTTATTTTTTATTTTATTGATTGTACCTCTTTTTTTTATATAACCTGATAATTTTTAATTACTTGCACATTATTTAAGATCATGCTTTGTCAATGAAATTTATTTTCCGACAATAAAGTATATTTTGATTGATTGATTGATTGATTGTAAGGAATAGAGATATTTTGTCTATTTCTATTGGCGTTTCCTCTATATGGATTTCAAAAAGAGAGAGGATAGCAGGTGTCATGGGGATGAAGATTTCTATCCATTCCAGAGTTCCAGCCCAGCTACTTATATGTGAAGTTAGTAAAGCTGGATTCCTTTCTAGTTTTTGTTCTTGAATCAACCCAAGGTTCACAATATGTGAAGATTGGTTGCTTCTTCTTGGCGGCAATCTTATTCAATATTTTTATCAGTGATATAGTAGATTGTGTTAGGTATAAACAGCAAATCAGACAATCAAAGAACCCCGGTACACAAATTATCAAGATTGAATTGATATGGACTAGTAAGGAAGAAAGGACTAGACGGGAAATGTGAAAAAATAGGGAATACATAGAATAAAGTATACCTTTTTCAACCTAGGATCTCTCTGAGAGAGCTGGGAAAGGTTTATGGAATTATGGCCAGGTGGAATATATTAATTCCACATTAAAATTTCTAGAAAAAATACAAACTCGTTTAACCAATCTTGAAATTAGTAGACCTCTCAGCTCATTGGCCTCGCCGTTGGCACAGACAAAAAAAATTGATAGGTATCTAGAGCATTGGATAATGGGGTTCTCTGTTTCAGTACAGCCACACCACATGCCTTCCAAACAATGTCAAAAAATAGAAATTAATTCACCTGAATAAATAAATAATATGTAATAATGAGAGCATAAGTGTTGAATTATTGGCAACAGGTTAAATTTAATTTAATCACAATAGTACTTTAAATAAAAATTTCATGGCCAGGTACTAATGCCAGAACTTTTGGCAGAGCCTCATTCAATAACAAGTTGCGACGACCTCTATAAAAATAACTGCGAGGCAACTGAGGCAAAAATCCTTAATGCAAAGAAAATAAAAATACTTACACTTTGCAAGATCGCACAGCATTAAAAAGTGTAGATTCAAATGTAGAAAAGTATCGGTACATTCCAATATCGCTTTTGCTCTTTTCGGTGGTTCTAACGCAGAGGTCGTAGAGCGGCCTCCATTCCAGTTGCAGTTCATCTCTCGTCAATAGGTATTTTTTCCTGGAAGTATATTTTTTTCGTTAAACGAAAAATACCTTTAAGTTGTTTTCTAAATGACTTACTTCAATAATTGCGACAAAGTAACGGCGCACTTATTTATCCTGGTCGGTTCCAAGTCGGGAATGGTAATTAATTCATAAAATAATTTAACCAGAGCGATATGGTCCTCTTTTGAAAATTTTAATCCATAAATTTCGATGTATCTGGAAAATTGCGGTAAAATTTCAAATTTCGGCATCTCATTGGTCACGTGACTTTGACGTTTTTACTCAATACCAAACTCCGATGCATGTTTGTCTTTTTCCAATACAATGCGATAGACAAGGATAGCCAATAGATGACTTTGCTAATAATCCTTCAAATGAATAAGCAAAAAAGTCAAAAGTCAAAAACCAAACTCATGTTGTCAAAATAATTTTTGGTTAAGTTATGAATATACTAAATATAGATTTTTTTTAAAGAATTTATGAAGAAAAATAATTGAGGCAAAGTTTGTGAAAGTCTTACTTATTCAGCCTAGAAGTCCATAAGGCACATCCTGGTCGCATTTCACGAGCCAAAACCGATTTAACAAGGTTAGTTTTGATAGAAACGAATAATTTTTCAGATTCATCGTCCAAATGTTCGGCGTAGGGCAAAAATGAATTGTAAACGTTTTCTTTCTGAGGCCTAAATCCCAATTTTTTAGCTCTTTTTTCTCTATAATCTTCATCCATATTTTTTCTTTCAAAATCGGAATCTTCTACACCACAACAAACACTAGATTACAGACTTTTGTTTAAGATCACCCCAATATTTACCACTGTAAAAGGTTACAAGATTACAATATTCAAGCTGATTTCAAATTTATAGAAAATACAGAGTCATTTTGGTTCAATTCACTATTTCCAGTCAGTCAGTCAGTCAGTATGACAATTTGTAATTTTGTATTAAAATTTTTGCTTACACACTTACCAGCTGACATGACATGACATGACAGAGCTTTTTTTCTTTCTCCTTCCTCTGCTTTGTTTTGCCGCAACCAATCAAATGTCGTGGAATCAGGGGGGGTATTTAAACTAAACTGGATGGTTTGATTTGGATTGGCCTTGAAGCCCGCTTTGTTTGAAATTACGGATTTAATTTGTCTTGTAATAAATTTAATAAAATGCGAATGAGGTATAAAAAATTGTTACAATAGAATATAATAGCTATTGAACAATAAAAATTGCATTAGGTTTAGATTAAATAAAACTGCAGATCCTATTAAACACTCTTGAATCAAGTGACAAATTAGAACTATTCGGGTTTGGAAAAAGGACAGTTCTGGAACGGTTCAAAACAATCGTCCAGTTTATTGATCAACAAAATAACAACGACTCGACTATCACAAATTGCAATAATAAACTGTGCGATTCTTCTGGACCGTTCTAGAACCGTACTTTTTCCAAACCCGAATAGGCCTATTATGTATTAAAAAAGGCCCTGGCTAAAGTAACAGAGGTGTTCCTGTAATTATTTTTTTAAAGTAACATCAGTTCATTGACGTCACTGATGACAATGTTACTTTTAATAGGGGTTATAGTAGTAACAGTCTAAGGTAACAGAGGTGTTACTCTAATTATTTTCTTGAAGTAACGTCAATATAGCAATATGTAGATAGGTACTTTCTTTAGCAATTTAAAGTAAAGGTGATATTCAACAACATAACAATAATCTTTTATTTTTTATAAACCAAAACTTTGCATCAACATATTGATAATATAAATCTTTTGCGAGAAAAAAGGCGTCTCCATATTCCTATTCCTCACATGCCCTTATTTACCCAATAGTTATTTATAAACCAAAGAGAGGGGAATGTAGGTATAGTTCTCTCCTGCAGGTGAAATTCGATTAATTACCAAAGGGAGAAACGGAACTTCACTACTCCAAGGGAATATACCTACTTGAGTATATGATTTTTCATACGACAAGATAATAGTAATTAATAATCTGTACCTAATACCTGCATTACACATGAGGAGATATTCGATACCTATCGTTTTAAATTTTTTTATTAGTGTGCAAAGCAAAGTGAAAATCAGTTTTCCATTTTTAATCATTAGCGGTATAAAATAATGGTCATCAACTTCAAGGAATTTTTTTTCAGCAAATGAAGGTAAGAAAAAAAAATAGGTAATTTATTCCTTTAGAGCTAAAACTATGATCTACAGCGAAAAACTTCTGCCTAGGAAGGAAAATAATTTACTTTCCTCCCTAGGGAGGGGAAATTACTATTTTCCTCCCTGAAAAGAAGATAAAAAATTTTCACTTTCTGACAGGGTCATAGGAAAATGTGTCTTTCCTGCCTTCCTGTTTTATAAGTATTCTATTCTATCTCTATCAGTGGCGGATCTAGGACCTTTGGGGCCCGACGCAAAAAAAGTTTTGGGGCCCTGTCTTATTTTCGGCTAAATTGGTTGGTTAACTGACACCTACTAGTAAACACACAGGCACCAAAACTAAAAACCACCGTACTGTACAGGGTGCTGCAATTTGGAGTGTTTTAACAGGAAAAACACACTTCCCGACCAGATAGAGGAAAATTGACCTTAGATGTCATGGGATCGATTTTCGAGAAACGTCGATTGTCAAAAACCGTATCACGATATCTTCAATGGTATCGGGTCTTCAAAAAAAAAACCAATCAAAGATTGCTTTGGATATGAAAACGTATGTCGCATTATTGTTTCTTTATTGGTCAGGATTTTTGACATGACATTTTGACATTAAAGTTCATTGACAAAATTAAATAAAAATAGTGCTAAGACATACGTTTAAAAAACCATAGCAATCTTTGATTGGTTTTTTTTTTGAAGACCCGATACCATTGATACAGGGCGATTTTCGATTTTCCCCTATTATGAAAAATGGCTATAAGTTTTTTATTTATCAATTTTTTTTGTTTCTGTAAAAACATTATGGAGACACTTTTTTGAACACAATCCAGTGACGGACTCGGTTTTTTTCTATATCGCTCCGATTCCGAGATATCGACCAAATTCCGATATTTTCAAATGAAGCACCCTATATATTAATAGCTCATTGGATAGCTCTGTTTTTGCTGATTTCAATGATATAAAGTTCGATAGGTTTATCTCCGACAGTTTTCGAGAAAAAAAAATATATCTGTTTCGGTCATAAGAAAAAATGTGTTAGACAGAGTTCTTCCTCATTCTCCTTACACATATAAAATCCTTTTCTAACACATTGGTCCTTACGATAAAAACAGATATAATTATTTTTCTCGAAAACTGTTAGAGATAAACCTATCGAACTTTATATCATTGAAATCAGCAAAAACAGAGCTATCCAATGAGCTATTAATATATAGGATGTTTCATTTGAAAATATTGGAATTTGGTCGATGTCTCAAAATCAGAGCGATATAGAAAAAAACTGAATCCGCCACTGGATTGTGCTAAAAAAAGTGTCTCCATAATGTTTTTACAGAAATAAAAAAAATTGACAGATAAAAAACTTATAGCCATTTTTCATAATAGGGGAAAATCGAAAATCGCCCTGTATCAATGGTACCATTGAAGATATCGTGAAACGGTTTTTGACAATTGACGTTTCTCAAAAATCGATCCCATGACGCCTAAGTCAATTTTCTTCTAGTTGGTTTGCAAGTATGTTTTTCCTGTTGAAACACTCCAAATTGCAGCACCCTGTACAATCTGTACTCCACTGACAAGTTCCATCCATTATCTCTGTAAACCAGGGAACATAGACCCATGGCCGAATGTGTAAGCGATATAATTCTCGGAAAGGTGGAAATGGTTTAATCTTTTCATTCATGTGTAAAAAGTGTTTTTTAAAATTTCCTCAAACTTTCTGCTTTTGCTCTATACCGGGTGTCCGAATAATCTGGACATATGCTGACTTTTATCAGTTTTTACTAATTACTCCTAAACGATGCATTTCTAGGAAAGTTTTACTCTTCTAGAAATTGGTGCCGTCTCTGAAGTTCTGGTGCGCAATTCTTGAAAAATATTGTATACGAAATTTGATATGAATTCGAACGCTTCCCATTTAATTTACATTGCTGTCAGTCAAATTCGATCAAATTTCGTATGCGACATTTTTCAAGAATTGGGCCACTGTCTCTGATCCTGTCTTCGCGAGTTCGTCAGCTTTTTCATTTCCTTCGATTCCTCTGTGTCCTGGCACCCAGATTGCTGTAGCTGGCGGAGTATACCCCTGCCCTGATACCAGCCGCAGTCTTCGACCCGTTTGTATACGGTTCGGTCCTGCTTTTCGATCTTCGGCTCCGGTATGCCCTGTTCCCATTCAGTTCTGCTTGAAAGCTGACGACACGTCAGAATAATTTCAACTTGGCTACTCTTTCCTCCAACTGAAGTAGCTGCTAGATTGCATACAATGAGGGCTTTCCTACAAATTAATTTGTAGAATGATCATTTGATGGACTCACCTTAATGGGGTTAGATAATTACTAAGCAAGGGAACTATCAATAACATCAACAGCCGAACAAACCTCTCAAGATTTGTCAAATGTTTGAAGGGGTGTCGAAATGCTTGTGGTTGCAGGAAGCAGAGAATGAAATGTTCCCCAACATGTTATAACTGCAGAGGAGCATCTTGCATAAACACACCAGATGAAATCGATGAAGAACACTTCAATGATGCCGAAATATTGCTACCTGACAAAGAGGACGTTCTGGAAGACCTTCTGGATGACGATTACCTTAAATTGGACTAATTGCTTCAATCAGCTTCTACTTCCAAACGCAGCAAATTCAGTTGACGTTGTATTCATTCAATTTTGTATTTTTTATTTATTTTTTGATATAAATGAAAATATTAAAACCACTTCCAGTTTTCTGAGAATTAAATCGCCTACGAACCCTATGTTGCCTGGCCTACTGGATATCTTTCAAAATTGAATTTTCGATTCTTTTTTAATATTTAGCCTATTTTTTTTACTCATTTTTATCGATGCCTCTAGAATTCGGTTGTGTGGGGCCCCTCAGCTTTGGGGGCCCGACGCAGAGTGCGTCGTTTGCTTCATGTTAGATCCGCCACTGATCTCTATGCTTCAGAGTCAGGTTATTTTTTATATATTTTCATTTTCACTCTAAAACAAATGAATGCCAAGAACCAAGAATATCACCTTTACTTTAAATTGCTAAAGAAAGTACCTATCTAAGTACATATTGCTATATTGACGTTATTTCAAGAAAATAATTAGAATAACACTTCTGTTACTATAACCCCTATTAAAAGTAAGGTTATCATCAGTGACGTCATTGAACTGATGTTACTTTTAAAAAAAAATTATAGTAACACCTCTGTTACTTTAGCCAGGGCCATTAAAAAAAAGGAAATGTTGAAGTCAATTAACTGAAACTTGTTTCAAATTAGACAAAAAGGGTGCAAATTTAAATAAATGTCCTGACCTGTTCAGAACTGATTATATTATTGTGTTATTATTGCTCAAATAGGGAATTTTCATATTTCTCAAATTATTTTTTTTAGATACTTCTAGTGATCAGTTATTACATAGTTTTTACCCTTTTTTTCCATTTTAATTTATACGTTGTACGAAAAAAAAATTATTGAAATTCAAATCAAAGACTTTGGCGCGAAAACACGAAATCCCAATTTGATAGCGCTTGTGACGTTGAGATTTTGTAAACATCAAATACGCAGCAAACGAATTCCTGCTGACGCAGTGCTATTTTTGTGTTATTCAAGTGTGTTAAAGTTTGCTTTTTATGAAAATTGCCGCAATGGATGGAGAATATTGTGAAGGACTGCTTTTGTATTTTTTTAACGTGCAAGTTCCCTATCACAGATTTCCCTATTGACGGGTTTGTTTACAGAATCGTGACGTCAAAACAGGTATCCATCATAGAAGCATTGTTTTGGCGGGAAAATTTTTATTTCAAATTTAATATTATTTTTTTGTGTAACAAGGGCGGTATCAGTTAAATAAAAACTGGTCATATGCATATTGTGCAGCATAAACTATCGATTTAAAACAAATTTGGAAAATTTTAGTTCTCTTGCAAGTTCCCTATTGTTCCAATTTGGGTTGAAATCAAAAATCAACTCAAACGGAAATAACGCAGACTTGTGAATCATGCATTCGAACATGTATTGATAAAATTTTTGTAAATTTTGAGTATAGATAGATAGATACTCATATTTCTGAGCACAATGCTCAGGAATTTCATTTTTATATATATCTTCTCAAAATAATATTTGAAAGCATAAACAATTTTTTCTACTGACGTTTCATAATACGCCTAAAATCTGTCTCATAATGAATTTCATTACGATACAGATTTTCATTATGATACAGATTTTTCAGCCACTGAAATCGAGTATTTTGAACATGAACAATGTTTACATAAAAATAACAGACTTGCTTTGGAATTTTGGATTGTTT